TGTGTGTGTGTGTGTGTGTGTGTGTGTGTGTGTGTGTGTGTGTGTGTGTGTGTGTGTGTGTGTGTAAATACATGATTAAGAGATTCCGTAGAATATGTTTTGTGCAATTGTAGACTCCCCCAAATTTGTGAGTCGAGAATAGGGTTGGGATTTATTTCTGCAAACCATCAACGTGCTACGATAATGCCCCAAACAGTACTTTGGCCTAAATCAAATTGTCACATGATAGCATTCCTTTCCTTATTCCTTAGCCTTTCCCCACCCTGTAAAACAACATAAAAGCGCTGACTCATTTCCAAGTTATTAAAAACAAAATATAAATCTATGACATACATCGAGTCTATGTTGTCATCCATAAACAGACAATATTGTTTCAGGCATTTTTCCCATCAAAATTTGCTCTAAACTTTAAGGAACAACTTCTGTTATTATATAGCACGTTGACGAATTGTGATGATGATGATGATGATGATGATGATGATGATGATGATGATGCAAATGAAAATGAAAAAGAAGGAAAAGAATACTAATTGTTGATATTGTTTTTTGTTGTTGAAAATGGGACCATTAATCCGACCACTGAAATGCCATATCTTGTACATATTACTCTTCAAATTGTAAGACATAGAACATTATTGACACGTCGTGTAGATACTGTACAGAAAATGACGTGAACAGGGAAAATGAAATACAACAACTGTACTTTGAGCGAAAGACTTATAAAAGAGACTGTGATTCTTTGTTTCTTATGTTGTAATTGAGAATTGTATAAAGACTTTTGGACTGCTACGATGACGAATACAGTGACTGGCTATTTCTTATTTCATGCTTCAAGGACGCGGAGAGCCAAATTCTATCGCCTTAGGTAATGTTGCTATAGGGAACGGACATTTTCATGTATTTTGTTTTAACTTTGAGAGGGAGAAGGGGACGAGGTTGAATAACCTGATAGTGTTGATAGGGGTGTTAAAGCCACACTATTTCATCTTTTTTTTTTAAGTTGGCGGGGTTGGGGTTCTGCAATAATCCCAATTGGTTGTCTTTTAGACGTGTTCGTTCAAACATTCCGGTACTTTCTACCTTTTTATGTTTTCGGTCGGGAAAAGGGGGGGGGGGCGAGGGGGTAAAACAATGGGAAAGTCAAGTGGTTTACATTAAGTAAAATAGAGTTTTATCGCAATTCAGTTCAGGTGGTTCTTCAATATTCAAATCTCATTTAAGATTTGGTCATTATTGAATAATGTTGGGACAGTATAGACGAAATGTGTATAGATCTAAATAGGTAAATGAATTTCTCGGCGCAGATACTTACTGGAGAATTACTGTAAGGAATGGATTACGGATGAAGTGAAAAAAGCTAAAAAAGATGGGTGAAGAAATGAATGCTGCTGTTTAAGTTTGATAATAATATGCACCCCTGAACCCCTTTATAAATGGCACGATTGCATTGCGCCTAATGCAAGTTTTGTTGATTATATGCAATGCATAATACGTAGATTTGTTCCATGAATATAGTTTCCTTTTTTTCATCTTCGTTATCTGTTCCATAATTACTCTATGTTGTCACCTGGGCTCAAGACACACATATAAATGCTTACGTAGATAGCCACTGCCATTTTATTATAGACATATTATTGCTGAACATGACAAACCTGTATATCCAGGTAACGAAGACAAACAAACTTATTAGCTTTAGGTTCCCATTCATTTTCCTGGTAAAATTGAATTATTCATAATGGAAGAAACGTTGGCCTCTGTAGGCTGTGATTGCCTTGTTAAGGGTTCTCCTCATCAATATTCATGAAGCCCTAAGGGCAATGAAAAATCATTCCTGCGCGACCGCCAAAATGTCTTCTCTCTGATCGTCTCAATCTCCTGGTCGCCGCTATCTTTTTTTTTACGTTATTTTTATTCTCTGCCGCGTTTTTATTGTACTGATGCTTACTTTCCCTCAGACGAAAACAATGGATAATTTTTTTTCAATATGTCACTCTTTCCTTTACAGTGCACATTGCTTCTTTGAAACGTGTAAACTTTTCGGTTGTTTCTTTCTGTAAGTTACTTCATAGGTCTTGACGACCCACACAACAAAACAGTTTAGTGTGCTCTCTATTGTTTCCAATTGATTCCTGACAAGTCTTTGGTACTTTCTACGTGTATACTGCATAATTGGCTCCTTTCTTTGGGGGTTTTGATACGTTCTTTTCGTTACATCTGTCAGTTAATGCTTCGATCTCCTTTTGATAGGTTTATAGTTAGAATTATTGCATTTAATTTCATATATTCTTCCTTTTGGAACTTTTGAGGAGGTATACAGTTTAATCATTTCAAATCATTGAGGAAACGTTTCAAATATGCAGACAATTCGTAGAAGTGCTGTTTGTTTTATGACGTTGTTTTTGACATTTGGATTTCTTTTATATCCCAAAGGATCTCGCAAAAAAAACAAAAAAAACAACCAGCCATGAACTGAATCATCATTTAAAGCACAGAATCACAGAAGTGGCAAATTCTTCACTTTTTATGCCCATCTATTCATTCCCTTACTCGAAAACGAAGCCAATTTTTGGTGTTTCCACTTGTGTATCCTCTTATTTTGCTCCTGCTTTTTTTTTTCATTTTTCGTTGGGTTTTCATAAATTAATTCCAGAAATAGATATGTAGACGTCTTATTTTGTCTGTGTTCAGCAAACAAAGAGTTGCTCAAACCATTGCCGTCGAATTCTGATTCTGAAAAGAAAAGTATACGTGATTTATGTGTTTACAAAAAGAGAATGTTGTGTGTTTGGTTTTCTTTTTTAAAATAAGTCAACCTTTTTGTTTTTGTTGACGCTTCTAGGCCAGTTTGGTTTTTATGTGTGTGTCAGACTGAACCTTCGTGGAGATGTGTGTACCCGCTCCTAAGTGTGTTGCTACGTTTGGGTGTTTGCGGTGTGTGTGTGTGTGTGTGTGTGTGTGTGTGTGTGTGTGTGTGTGTGTGTGTGAGTGTGTGTGTGTGTGTGTGTGTGTGTGTGTGTGTGTGTGTGTGTGTGTGTGTGTGTGTGTGTGTGTGTGTGTGTGTGTGTGTGTGTGTGTGTGTGTGTGTGTGTGTGTAAAACGAAAAGTGTGAGATTGCTTAGGGTCTTTGAAGGATTTGCTTCACTTTTAAGCAGTAAAACATTAGTTTTCCCATCGGAGGACAATTCATCAAAAAGCTTTCGTTAGTATACACGCACTTACACATTCGTATCTGTCATTCCTCACCTTGACCCCTCTCTTACACTTTATTACTTTCGAGGAATTACATTGTTTGTTGATTTGAATGCTTT